AGCTAAAATAAAAACAGAAGAGCGATTTGAAAACCACCTATTTTTTAGTCACTAAATTTTGATTGCAGTCGAAAATGGGAATTCTCGGTTTGAGGTCAATTTCGACTACAGTCGAAGACGGTATCTAGAGGGTTAACTTCCAATGAAAAACATACCAAATATCTACTGTACTAATTTTTGTGCCTTTTCCTACCAAAATTCTTATTAAGGGTCTATTGAAATGAATTTTTATACTATACATCTGTTATTTATAGAAAAAATATTTTATCAATTTTAATATTTAGTGGAAACTAAAAGCCTGCTTTAAACAAAATTTGATTAATTTACAGATTCTACAAACGAAGTCCTAAAGGACTCTACAACAAGTACAAACACAGTTACACTTCAAACGGCTCAACCATCGCAGCAGCAACAGCAGCAACAACAACAACAGTCTGTCTTCTCCAACCATTTGCAGTATGTGACCGACAACGATAACCAGCAGACCATCTTCGCTAATGGCACTATGTGAGATACACCATTAGACAGCTTGTGGTCGTGTGCCGTGAAGTGAAAATTTTTTGTGCTGTGTCCAAACTGTAGTTGTGCACCGACCCCATGTCGTTGGCCGTCGTCGTGTTTTCACACGATTATCGGCGCTACACAATGGTCCCCACATTGTGCCTGCAGCACTAACCAGTTGGCTCTCTTGATGTTTGCTATCGTACAAATTAAATATTCAAAGTGTTTGCAAGGAATTTTTGATTAATCACACTACTACTTATATGAAAATTCGATTTTGGTTTGCAATTGGAGTTTCACCTTCATAGTAAATAAAATCTATGATACAAATTGTACAATTTTGATACTGTTTTTGTAATCTAAATTATTTTTTTAGCCCTGAATGAAAACTCATTGGGTTGCTTTTCGAGTACGTTTTGAGGCTGATATAATGTTCTTTCATCTAATTCAACGAGCACAACTAAGGATGATTGTTTACACATTACAACCCTACCTCACTCCTCTCTTTAATAGCATATTCAAGTGATCTTGTGATTTCAAGCCAATTGGTTGAAAGTAGATGTAGTCTGTTTGTTTTTGTGTTTTTGTTGGCTAACTAATACCCTTTGCATGATTTGATAGTATTTATATCCGTGTGCATGCTATTCTGCATTGTTTACTATGGTAATTGCGTGTAGTAGAACTAAACTAAATATTTTTTTCATGTTTTCTGAATTTAAGTTGTATTGGTTTTATATTGACGTATGTAGAAAACATGGAATTATAGATTATAAAGACTGTACAATGAACATGTATCACTTTCAAAAATAATTGTACAAATTTAGTATTTAATACAATGCTCAAACACATTGTGAAGCATTTTTTCTTTGATTTCTTTTTCAAGTTATGCACTTCCATAAAAACAATTGATTGGAAAACCTCAAAAATTAAAATAATTTAATTACCAACTTTCAATAAGCAACTCACAGATAAAAAAAAAAAATGTTTTCCAATAATTTTCAGATTTTTTATAAGGAAGATACAGAAATTTAAGTGCAAGATTTGTATTACAATATTTTAATGTTTTCTTTGATTTCTTTTTCAAGTTATGCACTTCCATAAAAACAATTGATAGGAAAACCTCAAAAATTAAAATAATTAAATTACCAACTTTCAATAAGCAACTCACAGATAAAAAAGAAATGTTTTCCAATAATTTTCAGATTTTTTATAAGGAAGATACAGAAATTTAAGTGCAAGATTTGTATTACAATATTTTAATGTCTGTCAATTGGTGTCGGTAGTTTGGTTTTTTTCTCTGTCTCTAGTTTTAATTGTCAGTTGAAACTTATTAGTCATGCAGGTCAAGCAATTTTTTTTCTTTTGGTCGGTTTATAGTTTTTTTGACAGTTTATACTTTCAATATGAAATTATTGATCATACATATGGATTATGTTAAAACTTATAAACAAAAATAAATTAATTGTATATTATTCAGTACTTAATCTTTGGTACTTACTTAAATATTGTGGAATATAATACCTTGTGAAGAATGCTGAATTTTTAAAACCAAACCAAAAATTTATTAATAGTTATGTCATCATATTAATGACTAAGTATTCTGTACTGAGTTGATTTGATACTGTGTTGTTAAAACATCCAGCCTATATTTTATAGCATAGCCGCTCTATGTCTTCAATATTATTTACTTATGGTATTTTACTAAAAAGCATAATCACCGTTAGTCATGGAAGCTTATGTAGGCCTGTAGTACATACTAGTAATTTTGTATGCATACATGACCTATTTTTATGCTAGATATTTTAGCATGGAATTATATTGTTGCTTCTTGCTGGTTGATCTGCATGCCATATGGAAAAAAGAAATTGAATAGGTCACGCTTATTGAAGACTTTAAATAGTGATTTAAATACCATACCTAAATTATTTATGGTATATATAGCTCGATACTTTAATTAGTCTAAATATAGATCATTTATTTCTTTTAGTTTCACCTTGAGTAGTGATGTTTTTGTTATCATTATCACTAATATGTATAAAAGATAATCATTTTCATGTATGCTATCATTGTCTGCTGACACGCCAACACATAAATGTGACCGGCTCTGGCAAAACCTTCCATTTGTTAGAAAAATTCTAAATTGAGTTTTTTTTTGGCAATTTTAAATTTTAAAATTATTACTCTTTAAAACATCACTTTCGTAAATTGTAAAAACATTAGGCTCCCAGCGTAAGCATGTGTCTACTGCCCAAGGGCTTGGCCAGCGAGCCGTCCGGCCGTCTTTTGGACTGCCAACAATTATTTAGGACTGCCAACAATTATTTAGGACGGCCACTTGTCGGTCACGGCTTGGGACGGTTTGGCCTACTCAGCTCGGCCTAGCCTAGTTGGGCCTGGTTTACCTTTAGCAAATTCTGTATATTATTCAAATCTATCAAATGTTGCAATAAACTACAGCATGTTTTTCATTTTTCTGGCTAAACCCCTTCTAATGCCTTTTCGGAGACCACTCTGATATAAAGGTAAAACCTTGCCCGAGCGAGAAAAATCTTTGCTTATGGCACAATATCCCAACCTGCACCTCACCTGGTTTACTCTCACAAGTAACTTTCCGGATGATAGCTAAGTGTCTGCTGACCTCCGCAGGGGCAATAGATATAAAAATCAGAAAATGATTAAAATGCTGATTTACAAACTTTGTGAGTGCTAGGCCAAAATTGGAAATGGCGACAAATTTAGGGTTATGGTAGTCTAGAGTCGGTTACAAGTGAATGTATTGAATGAGACTTTCTACATCTGAAATTCAGCAAAAGTCCAATAGATACATTCCGCGAGGTTTGTTTACAGCCAGTCATGTGACATGTAGTGGAGAATTTACAGTACGATCAATGTTAAAGTATAGGAAAGGGTAATGTTATGGTCTTGAAAACACTTGCCCACCATCAAAGTGAGAAATACAAACTGCAAGGAAAGGCATTACGATTGTTCAATAAGTGTTTATTTACTTATTCTAGCGTTCAATGTGCTTTGTATGCTTCAGAATTTACGTGGTCCTTCGTAAACCTAAGCCAGCCTAAAAACTGTAGCGTGTCAAAATCACAGTTTGCGGATCAAAGACTCTTTGCATACCTAAACAGGCCGTAGACATGCAGGGGCCTAGGCCTTGCATTTTTCGGAAAATCTCAATGTTTGGGGTCAGTATCTCTTGGAGCATTAGCAAACCATTATGGCAAAACTCTGAATTTCAATTTCCAATCAATTTGGTGTAGTTACTGGCATTTCAACCAACATTATTCAACATCAAATATGTGCGTCAGCACAAACACTCCGAAGAAGCCATGCGTTTTCCTATTACCAAGCGTCGCTGGCGCTGCATATTTGCAAATGATGCCCACTATACGTTGCGTGACCAACCTAGGGGAATGTGTCTATTCTGGACCGTTGATATTTGCATACTTTACATGTTGATCACTGCATGCTTAAATGTTATTGTTTGCATTTCATTGCTTGTATTGACATTCATATATTTTTTTCCTTTCCAAATTTCCATCCTCTTATTTCTTCATCCTTCACTCCATCTTTCTTGTGGCCGCTCTATGCCAAACCAATCTAAAACAGGCCTTATCGCTACAGCGACTCCACCACGATGTACACCCAGGCACCGCAAGTTCAAGGAACAACATACTTCACAGCACCAGCTGGTAGTACAGCTGGTGTGGTAGTGTCCACTGGAACCGTAGGAGGGGTACAGACCATTGGCTCATCTAATTCAGTTATTGGAGGATCTACAGTTCTAGGAAATACAACTGGTCTCTTAGGCACGCATATAATATCTGGTTCACCGATCATCACAAATCAGGGTAACACTTATGTGGTCGCAGGTCATATGGATGACCACCATTTGTCACCGATTAGTCACATGACCAGAGCATCACCAGCAACTGTAAGTGAACATGTGAGGAAATTCTCTTATTTAGTTTCAGTGTTTAGCAGAGCTGGAAAAATTGCGTGACCACACGACTGGCAGTCGGAGACATTGACTTTTAACCCGGAGGCATTTCAGAAAAAAACAATTAAAAAAAATTTTTTTTTTACACATCACAATTTAATGCATAATTATATATTTTTGCTTTTCTTCAAACCACTAAATGTACTACTGTTTCGCTATAATAGTCTAAAGATAACATTTGGTCTTGGAGGCATTTGATCAAGATAATCTTCGTGGTCGGAGGCACAAACAATTTTTTCCAGGCCTGATGTTTAGTTTGTATTTTATTTAATTTCATGGTACCTTGTACACCCTATGTATGGCTAAGAGTTTTGAGGTTTGACCACTGATCTCTACTATAATAGCTGGATTGCTCATCAGCCAATCATTGTAGAGAAAACAAATGGAGCCATCGATGCCATGTTGGGGAGCCCAAGTGAAGTATCAATTTAGAAAAGTTTCTTTTAGGATTTGTTTTAAATTATTGTTAAAAATAATGATTCTTACAATAATTTTTGATAATAAATTAAAATTTAACGTAAGGATTTTTTTTTTCAAATTATCTAACCACTTGACGCGCCTATTTATGCAGTTTACAAAGGCGCGATCGAAGATGCGTTGTTAAAATTGTTATTAACACATATTGCAAGAATCAATATTTTTAACACTAATTTAAACAAATGGTAACAAAAACTTGACTAAACTGGTACTTCACTTTAGTATTTGCAAATTGTACTGGAGGCCTAACTAAAACCAGCCAATGAGCAATCCAGCTATTAAAATAGAGATCAGTGGGTATAAGAAAAGCAATAAATGCTAATTATACATGATTCTTATCTTTTCAGGTACAATGGCTTATAGACAATTATGAAACAGCAGAAGGCGTGAGCCTTCCCAGAAGCACTCTGTACGCTCATTATTTAAGACATTGCACTGAGCAGAAACTAGATCCGGTCAACGCCGCGTCATTTGGAAAGCTTATTCGTTCTGTGTTCTTAGGTTTGAGGACTAGGCGTTTAGGTACAAGGTAAATCATTTTCGTTTTAATTATACCTTTAATTTGCACATTGAATATAACAGTATATAGTAGTTCATGTAGAATTTTAAAGAGTTAATATTTCAAAAATTCCATTCAATTGCAATAAATTATATTGAAACTTGAGTCTTAAAAATAAAAATAATTAGAATTTTACACTTTGCATCAGAGTGTTATTTCATTTTTTCATGTAACTTATTTTTGGATTGGTTTGATTCTTGTTTCTTTTTTCCTGATGAATTTTTGTTGCGTTTAGTAGCAGTAAAATCTCTTTAAAGCTTGGTTTCCATACAATCACTACATGTTATCGCCGACAGCTTTCAGTGATGCTGATTGTTCGCTCGAATAGGAGATTTTCACTGATTGCACTGAAAACACTGAAGCGACAGTGTAGCAATTTTAAGGAAACCAATCTCAAGAACCTTTGTGTTTGTAAAATTACTAAATATGATTTTATATGAAAGTGTTCACTTTATTCAACAGAGGAAACTCTAAATATCATTACTACGGTATTCGGATCAAGAGTACGTCACCGCTGAATATGTACCAAGATGATGTTGGACACACAGCAATGCGACAGCAACCTCTCAACACAGGCAAAAGGTCTGTACAATTACACGCGCATTGATTGGTACAGAATATCGGCATGAACAGTGGCTTAACTACTATGAGCCCTCACTGACTAAATCCAGGGGAGTGGGATAATTATCAGTATTCTTCATTTTTCTCCAAATTGACCAAGTGAGGCCTTATGAGGTGCAGGGCATGTAAAAAAACCCATCAAAATATGCTCTTACTTAGAATGTCAAAAATGCCTGAGCGAGGGTTTGTCCCTTTTTGCCCCACTGAGCTCTCTACTCAGACCCAGGCAGCCCCCTGATGATAGAGCCCTAAAAAGTCTTACTCAAGAACCCCCTCAGTTGTAGATTTTTTTTCATTGTTATTCACAATGATGTAAGGCGTTAGTAATCATGAACAAAATTGAGCTAAACAAGAACACTCACTCTATAGAGTGTATGTTAACAAAATTCTGTGACCTTGACCTTGTCTTTCTGACTTTTTCATCCCAAAATGTAATCACCTCCTCTTTATGGTGATGCATTCATTTGTTTTTGCATATTCCTGCTAACAGGCAGACAGCTGTAAATGCATAAATTACTTGGTGGAGGGTGACAAAAAATAAAAAAATAAAAAAAAACAAAACCAATCCTCTTAATTGTGATTCAGATGACTTTAAAGGTGACCAGCATATGAACTAAAACCATAACCCTGAGAGAGGAAGATCATTTCTTTCCACAATACCACATTTATTTACAACTAAGTGTTTTTTTATTTATTGTTGCAGATTCAAGCCCAACAGTGTACAACCAGTTGGTGAAGGTAAGGATGTAATGTCCACAGACGACCAGTCGACAGTCCTCGTTGACCCACAACCCCAGACTCAAACGCAGCAGCATCAGCAGTTCTTGGGTGATGCGTCATTGGCGCTGCCTTCATTTGATGAGATCAATTTTAATGAAAATGAACTCCCGGAAGGAATAACGAAAGCCGATATTGTCATGTTTAAGACACTTTACAGAGAACACTGCGAGGTACGCGTCTTGAAATTTAAGTCTCCCTCTAATTAAAGACCACTTTTTGGACTGGAGTTTTCAGGTCTTCAGCAGTTTTTGCCTTTAATAAGAAAAATTCTTATAAAAATAAAAGATAGCCATTTATTTGGGGCCACAAAAATGTGGTCTTTAATTGGAGGGATCTTTAATTAGAGTTAGACCTATACTATACAATTTTATTAGCTGATATTGATAAACTGTCAACAGCAAAAACAGTAAGTAATATTTGGTTTAACACAAGAAATTATTTATTGAATCAACTATTGGAAACCAGATGAAACTATTTACCCGTAATTGATAATGTTTATAGTTTTAAAGATAAGAATGAAAGTTGATTCACTTAATATACAAGGAATTATGGGAATGATTAATTATCTTTTAGCTTACACTTTCTTTCATAATTATATAAAATACAAAGCAGCAACATAGCACTAATATAATTGGGAACCATTATGTGTGCACAACCATGGAATGAGAAAGTGCAGCCATCCATTTTATTTTTATCGTTGAGATTCTACTACCACGCAGATTACACTATGGATGTAGCTATGAGAATACACAGTTTGTACGATATTTAAAAATATTGTACACCCTCTAATTCGAGACCACTTTTTGAAGGAGCCAAATAACAATCTTCAGTCTATTATCACTAAATTGTACACCCTCTAAGCATTGAGAACACCCCAAATTTTCAGGCCCCAAAGATGGTCTCAAGATGGTGGGCAAATTATACTAACACGTGTGATCCTCGTTTCCTTTTACTGCTGTTACATAATTACCCTGGATCAAATTGTCTCTAAACATATTGTAGTAACATATATTTAAAGTCTGATTTCTTCAATTTGAAACTACAAATGACTGGTTTTGTTGTATGATAACAGTCATCATCGAAAATTAAACCTAGCCCATTGGTGTACCGATATGGAATGTATTAAATGGTGTTTAAATATTGAATGTTTATGTTTGCCAGAAGTTTGAGGAGTTCAAATTATCGTAATGAAAAAACCCAATCGTTTGCATATGAGGCACTAAATTGGTTATGATTGAGGAATGATTGATGATGTCTGGCATTTTTTTCTAGGCTGTGTTAGACGTGGTTGTGAATCTGCAGTTCTCACTGATTGAAGCCCTTTGGCAGACCTTCTGGCGGAACCAACCAGCAGATAGTACAGCTACCACGAAGTAAGCCAAGATGAATACATGTTTTTAGTAGTAGCTCTGTATAAACAAGATTGTTTTTTTCATAGTTATGGAAATATGCTGGAAAAAGTTATGGAAAATCCATATATGGCTGGAAATAGTGGAAAAAAAATCTTATAGTAATTTTGTATAACTTGTGAAAAATTATTATAGTATGCATAAACATCATTAAATTTAATTGAAACGTGAAATCGATTATACTCAAGGTAGGACTAGATTATGTTGTTCATGCTTTTATTGTTTTTGCTATTTGCAGCGAAGCAGATCCAGAGAAGCGATTGGCCAAAACAAAGTTATTAGCCTTATCAAAATCGCAGCCAATTCTCAACTACATCAAGCATTATGACCATGTACTGTACCAGGGATTAGTAGAGGTTCTTATTCCAGATGTCCTCAGACCTATTCCAAGTAAGCAACTTCTTGTAATTATTTTCAAGAGAGAATACTGACTTACAGTAAGAACCATTTCATTGCCCTTTAAATAGGAGCAGGCTAGCACTCCACCCCCTCCCCAGTTTTTCCTTTGAATATTTTCCTCTCAGGAAAATTTTACCTACAATTCCTTCTAAAATACCTGAAACATGAATATATAAGATTATCGTATGTTTTTTATACTTAAGTCATGTGGAGGGAAATTCTTGGGCAATATTTTCTGGAGGCAACCAGCTTACATGTAACCATTGCACTAAATTGGGCATACTGATAAGAAAGTTGATGGGTTTTTGCATCTATTAATGTTACTGTCTCTCTTTTAGTCTCCCTTGGCCATTTATTTTACTGTACATTGTAAAGTAACAGAAAAGATATACTGTGTTGTGGTTGATCTATATTTATGTTAATGTTTCTTAAAAGCAAAGTCGATTGATTTTACTTTTGATACAGGTGCGTTGACTCAAGCCATTAGGAATTTTGCAAAGAGCCTGGAAACTTGGCTTAAGAACAGCATGACTGGCATACCCCATGAAATGTACACACTTAAGGTAGAAAACTGCTGCTTTGCATTTTTGCATGTTCATTTCTAATATATCTTTCTTAAATCTATCGTAAAACTACTTCTTCATATGTTCACAGGATAATTTTTGGTGAGCCCGTATTATGCTATTAAAATGTAAATTTTCTCAATCCTGTGACCGCAGTGAAGTACGAACTCATTTATTGAAGCCCTGTCAAGATTCAAATTTTCTTTGACAAAAAAATAACTGTTGTATAGATACAATGGTTAATTTAGTGCAATAAAATAGATTTCAACAATTTTGACATTTCAAACAAAAAATATATACAAATCAGCTAAAATTTCCATGTATTGACCATGTTAATGCATGTTGGACTGAAAATACCAATTATCATATCGTCACCATTTGTTAACCATTTTGAAACAATTTATAATAATACAACTATAATAATGTCATTTATAATTTTTTTGAGTCAAGAACCTGTTTTTGCTAGAGTGGTCAAATATAGGTTTTAAAAATTGTTTAGCTTCTGGAGTGAAGATTCATAAATTGTAGGCTGTCGTGAATTTACATGACTTTTGTCAACAAAATTTTGCATTGTAAATCAATATCCATTTATGACTCTTTCATTAAAGAATGGTGTGGTGACCGCGTTTGCGCAGACTTTACGCCGATATACCTCTCTGAACCATCTTGCCCAAGCCGCACGAGCTGTCCTGCAAAATACCTCGCAAATAAGTCAGATGCTCAGTGATCTCAACAGAGTGGACTTTGCCAATGTTCAAGTAAGTCTGAAAACTATTCAATATTAAAATGAAAAATAAATTAACATGGTAAATTACAGAGAAGTATTCAATCCCTGCACATAAAAAAACAAATAGTGACAATATTGAATATCTCAACATGTCTTGCATTACATCATGAGACACATGCTGGTCTATGTACTTACACTTCACATGGCATTGTTAACATTTCAAAGTAGAGGTACATTGTAGACATAACAAATTTGTGAAATTCTTTTTATTATGAACAACTCAACTCCCTTCTGTTCTCACACTGGATACCAAGCAAGTAACTCATTCTCCGTCATGATGGCCCATCTTTAAAAGATTATCTGCAAAAGATTCAAGAAATTTTGACACTCATCCAATTTATACATCGATAAATATCAGTTGGCTGTAGAACAATTTTCTGTACTCTGCTGTTGACTCTTCAACTAAACAAATGTGCACTTTAATTCATTTTAATATTCTCTCGCGTTTTTGTTCTGTTCGTTGTGACTTTTTAGACTCATCCTAAGAACACTTGCAGTACCCACTGCTACTAGGTGATCGAATTCATCACTAGTCACCAAGCGCAAGCTCGGTGGTCTAGTGGTTAAGACATCAGGCTAGATACCTGGAGGTTGTGGGTTTGATTCCCACCTGAATTACTTGCGATTTTTTTCGCTAGTATTTGGGGACGTACTGAGTATTCAGTACGATTACACGTCAGGTAGGGCAAAACATCACTCCTATGATTTTTAGACATTGTCGAATAGCATATATCTACTAACTGTTGCTTAATGCTTAACTGAGTAATTAGCATAAGAATCTGGCGGTATTGTATACTTTAGTACAGAGAAGCAGTAATATACTCATAACTTTATTTATAATTTATTACCACGTTTCAGGATAAAGAAATATACAACAAAAAGCCCTCAAGGGATTACCAATGGAACACTATCGAGGGATCTCTAAGATAAACATAAGAAAAAACAAGATAAGAGCATCAAACTACAATGAAAAAAAACACAAATAAAAAACATGTTGGCAATAGTAGGTCGATTCCATTAAATAACCTACAGGGGTGGCGCCAGGATTTGCCCGACGGTGGGGGAGGGGGAGGTCCCCGACGGGGGATCGATGCCCCGACCAGGGTTCAGATTTCCCCGACAAAAGGAAAGTGGGCATGGTAAAAGGTTACAAACGTGGTCCAAAAAGGCGTAGGCCCCCAAAAAATTTTGACAATTTATGGGTTTCAAAGGCTTACTTAATCGATTTTAGGTCTACTAATATGTAGAAAAAACACATAATCTTTGTTTCTCCCCCGGTCTTCTCCCCCCTAGCGCCACACCCGATAACCTATCGAACAAAGCAAAAACTTCCTGGCGGGCTTGTGCTTAAAATTGCTGGGGAGCGGCGTGGTGGTGTTTGGTTTCATCTGTGTTGTTTTTATTTTCTCCCCTTTCTGGTTTTCCACTCTAAAGATTATTTGATTGCTACAGTACAGTGGACAATATAAATATTAAAAAGTCACTTTTCCTGTTTTGGCGGCTAAAGCGGGTTTTGACATTGCAAGCACCATATATACGCAGAGTACATTGCTACAATACAGATTCGTCATACATGGTCGATACTTGAACACAAAATATATATTTTTAAATGTTCATATTCATATATGTTTATTTTCAGGAACAAGCATCATGGGTGTGTCAGTGTGAAGACCAGATGGTTCAGCGATTAGAGCAAGATTTCAAGACCACTCTTCAGCAGCAGAACTCCTTAGAGCAGTGGGCAGCTTGGCTAGAAGGTGTGGTCACCCAAGTACTCAAACCTCATGAAAACTCTCCAAACTTCGCTAAGGCAGCCAGACAATTCCTGCTCAAGTGGTCCTTTTACAGGTGAGCAAATTATCTGTAACTATCATGTATGAGCATTGTTCAGAGATGGATTTAGAGGGAGGGGTGAGGGGAGGTGTTGCTAAACAAGCTTTAGGCCTGTTCCCTGTTTTAATCAACATGTATGTGTTTAATGCCATTCTGGGATTTCAGACCTTTATTGGGGTCACCGTAGCAGCGTCCTCTTCGCTGCCCTGGGTAATGTCAATTCTACCACCACCACAAGGTATACAAGGAATACTTGTATCATTATTGTCATCATGCCTAGACCAGAGCAGGTCCATGGCCTGTGCTTACTTCATATCTGCAACAATCGAAGGTGGACACGATAAGAAGACAACCTTTATTTTGAAATATTTTTAAGTTGCTTACTTTAGATGTAGTTAAATGCACAAATTTTTGCTGAAAACTAGTTTTCTTTTCCAATTAGCAAACAATATATAGTGTCTGTCATTCCTATGTTTTTTTGCATAGACCATTAAACTGGCTAGTAATCTATTTAAGGGTTTTTTGTAGTGAAGTCTATAAACCTAAATGTGTCACTGCTTTTTGAAATTCAACGAACCAGTAGAAATTTGTATTCTTTGTGTTCCACAGTTCGATGGTGATCCGTGATCTTACCCTCAGAAGCGCTGCTAGTTTTGGCTCCTTTCACCTGATACGTCTACTCTACGACGAGTACATGTTCTACCTGATTGAACATCGAGTAGCATCAGCAACGGGAGAAACGCCCATTGCTGTAATGGGTAGGTTCATATTTTGCTATTAATTTGAAAAATTAAAACCGATAAACGTAGAATACCAAAATGAATAATGATGTATTCTATAATACAGTATTTGGCAAAGTGATTATGTTCCTGCTCAGTGGTGGATTCAGGGTGGGGGTGGGGGACCAACCTGGTTTCCCTTAATTTTTCAAAATCGTAAAAAAATGAATGAAAAGACAAAATCATAATCAAAATTTAGGTTTGAGAGTGCTAATTCTGGCCATGTAGAGGTGCCATAAGACCAGAGCAGGTCCATGGCCTGTGCTTACTTCATATCTGCAACAATCGAAGGTGGACACGATAAAAAGACAACCTTTATTTTGAAATATTTTTTAAGTTGCTTACTTTTGATGTACAGTTCAATGCACAAATTTTTGCTGAAAACTAGTTTTCTTTTCCAATTAGCAAACAATATATAGTGTCATTCCTATGTTTTTTTGCATAGACCATTAAACTGGCTAGTAATCTATTTAAGGATTTTTTGAAGTGAAGTCTATAAACCTAAATGTGTCATTGCTTTTTGAAATTCAATGAACCAGTAGAAATTAGTATTTTTTGTGTTCCACAGTTCGATGGTGATCCGTGATCTTACCCTCAGAAGCGCTGCTAGTTTTGGCTCCTTTCACCTGATACGTCTACTCTACGACGAGTACATGTTCTACCTGATTGAACATCGAGTAGCATCAGCAACGGGAGAAACGCCCATTGCTGTAATGGGTAGGTTCATATTTTGCTATTCATTTGAAAAATTAAAACCGATAAACGTAGAATACCAAAATGAATAATGATGCATTATATAATACAGGATTTAGCAAAGTGATTATGTTCCTGCTCAGTGTTGGATTCAGGGTGGGGGTGGGCAACCTGGGTTCCCTTAATTTTTGAAAATCGTAAAAAAATGAATAAAAAGACAAAATCATAATCAAAATTTAGGTTTGAGAGTGCTAATTCTGGCCATGTAGAGGTGCCATAATCATAAACTTTCTTACCTCGGCCTCAACCATGGTGGGGCTGAGCTAGTTCAGCGTCTCCATCCCTGACAGTTACTTCTTTGCCCCCCTCCCCTCAATTTTGAATTTTGGTGCCTGCCATTACTGCTTCTTGCACACTGAAGACCCCGAGTAAAACCCGGCCAGCGTTGGAATTGGGCTCAAATTTATTCAAACAACTGGATAGGACACATATCTGTTACATGTTGACACACTGAGGTTGCCTGTGTTTCCAGTGGCCCTGCCAAAGGAGTTGGGACAAAAAAGGATAATCTAAAATCTCTAATTTTTTTTTTCAGATAAAGTAGACAGTAGGGGTGTGAAGAAATATTCCTCGTCTGTTAACCATATGGACGTAAACCAGGGATCAGATTTAAACGAGCATACAAATGGAGAACCAGATGCAAAAAAGGCGAAGACAGAAATCAACTTGTAGTTTTAATACATTTAGAGAACATTTACTTAGTTTTTGTGCTCGTTTTTGACAGACAACGATAACGACCGTTCAAAAGAAAAAATGTAGTTGCAAGTGTCAGTACGCCAAGACGAAGGATATACTGAACATTGTAGCTTAGAAAACCATTTATTCACCCTTAACAGTTTGTAATCAGAATGCAAGTGAGGAATGGATTAGGTAGATGTACTTATGAGGAGTGAAGGCATCTTACATGGTTTGGTAATTATTAGTGTATTTGGTGTATTTCAATCAATCTTGGATGTGTTAGTTTGTAATGAATGATAAAAATAGGATTTATGTTTTCTGAAATAATTATATGAATATACTTTTCTTCACTCAATTTAATTAAATTGTTTATTGGAGCACAGGCCTCAGATAATTGTGGAGAAACACAAAAGTACATACAGTGTGAATATGAAATTTGTATACAGTATATATATATTGTTTTTAACCAATGATCATTTTTCAGTCTTTCACTGACGTTTCTTGAAGTTATGTACTTTTTTTTTTTATTTATAAACATAATTTGTACAGATGTTGAATTAGTTCTAAATATGTGCAAAAAAAAAACATACTCTATCTAAAACTTATTTGTTATTGTTGGAAGGTTTGTATATGGTTGGTGTATTTAAAAATTTGTAACATGGTGTTCAATTGAGCTGCCGCCTTATCTTGTAGTTATAGTAAGATTTACTCTAAGGAGTTAATTATCTGTATATGCATTTTCTTCTCACTGGAGTTAATTTGATTGACTTTGTATAAAAGTTTGTTATATTGGAAACAATAACAAAAAAAACCTATTTAACTATGCATTTCTGCAAGTCTGCACATATTTCTTTTTAAGTGGCCAAACCATTTTAAAAAATTGAAGGGTTGGTACAATATACAGGTCTCCCTCCAATTAAAGACCAATTTTGGGACTGGGGTTTCCATGGTCTTTAGCAGCCTTGGTCTATAATTAAAAATAATAAAAATAAAAAGAAATTTGTTAATGTGGGACACAGGAAAGTGGTCTTTAATTAGAGGGAGACTCTGTATTACATGTTGAGCTCCATGCAGTATATATGTCGCTGGAGAAAGTTGGTGGAAAATCAAATTATATAATTATTTAGTCACCTTTTAAATGTATAGAGTGTAACTTGTTGGGTTAAAGGAGGAATGGAATGTTCCTCTAATCCCGACCCTTGGATATCGTGAATATTGTTCAAACAAAATTGCAGTGTACACACTTGTGTATGTGGAACAAGTTTGTTTTACTGGCCCAGTTCTCGTTGATAAGTTTCACACTTTGGAGAGGTCCACATACTAAGGTTCTCATATTTTGGTACATTTTAACGGGGTTTTTTTTTGTGTTGAATAGATAGATAATAGGTTCAGAGGTGAAACCTGTTACCTTTCAGAGTTGATAAAGAAATGTTTTCAGTAAAACTCAGTCTTACGGCCTGACAATTCAATTGTTGATTTCAATGAATTTTACCAGGTTTTGTGTAACCATGTCAATTATGTACTGTATATGCAAAAATATAGTATATAGGAAAAAATATATGTTTTCTCAACTATTTATGAACTTTATACCACTGATGGAGGCATTTCTCCACACCAAATTTAGTAACATGTAATATATACCAGTAAATGTTAAACTGAATTAGTTGAATAGATTGCTAAGTTATACAATTATTATTTAAAGTGGCTTACAATTGCATCAATGAGGGGTGAATGTTGCATTTCCACAGGTAGGAAAAGTTGACACTGGGATTGGGTGTACGTTGGTATTACATAAGAGTTCTATGCATTAGAGATATGACATCTTGTGTTATTTAATCTTATGAGATGTTTATTTTTGGATAATGAGAAAATACTTCAAAGAAAAGTATTTCTTGGATATTTACCAAAGCTTTGCTATTAAAACCTGTTCCTTCTGTAAATTATATTGTCACTAGTATGTAAATTAGCCTACAACCAAAAATATCCGAGACTTGTTGAGAAACGAAGCAGCAAAATCACTAGGATGGTTATCAAGAGTATCGTAGTTCATGTAATATTCATTTTGACTCTCATCGATATGTCAGTCCCCCTCACCCTTTCTAATAGTTTCCCCCTCACCCTTCCTAATATTTTAAATATCAGTACAGTACTAAAAACTTGAAATCCCATCACCTCATAATGTTGTGTAAGGCTGCAAACATCAAAATTAAACTAAAAAGAAAAAAAAAATGTAAAACTAAAATTGTTATTAAATAACTTTTTTTTAAAAGAACTCCTGTATCGCAATTGTTTTTGGGTTGTTGACAATGAGAATGTTGTATTTCTCAACTTGTTGCAATGTAACCCACATTTTTATATTTTATTAATGGTGGAACAACCTATTGTAAAAGCATTATTGTTGTGGTGATTTGTGTGTAGTTAAAGCAGGAAGTAATTTGCATTTTTGCTTAATTTTAATCCTGGATTTGTATAATGGTATGTATTGTATTGAATTGTCTATGTATGGTTGAAGTTTGTATAAATTAGATTATTATACATTAGGCTATATTTTAAGTAATTTAGGCAATGTAGGAGATGGGTTGCAAAGCAGGAAAGGATTTGTCATTGTATTGTTTTGAAGTGGATCACAATGTGTTATCTTAAACTCAGTTAAGTCAGGCTACTTTTTTTTTTCTTGAATGGTGTGTGTGTGCCTATTTTGTATTTGTTACAACTTGTTTTGAAGAAAGAACAGTAACTTGGGGAGTTCATAATTTCAGACTTTTTTTTTAGCTTGTTGATATCAATGATTGCATTGCATAGTTATTCAAATCTGTTTAAAGGGGAGATTTATTGTCATGTTAAATTCATAAGAATTTATCAGTTGAATAAAATAGAAATTATAATGTGTATTTGGTTTTTTTTTGGTTTGGTATTTGTTAGCCTTAAATCCAGTAGTTTACTAGTCTAGCATATGATTGCTTACACACACACAATTGAACAAGAGTGAGGCTTTAACTTCAAGAAGATGTTTAATAATAATATAAAAGAATCAACACAACCCTTTAGCAAACATCTAATAAGTTTGTATAAATATTCAATTGGGTTATCATTAAAAAATAACATTGAATCGACAGCTCTCAATATTATTAAATTACATTTTATTCAGTTATGTTGTAAGAAAAAACAACTACTGGAGGCAAAACGGTAATAAGGGACAGTGCCTTTGATCATATTAATTTGGAATTGGTGCTATTATAAATCGTTAGCCTGATGTCCCCCCCCCCCCCACTGAGAATGTAAAGAGGCATGGTCTAGGGTTGCTGATAACCCTCCAAGGGGATAAAGGGGTCACTGGACCCCATAATCTATGTCATTTTTTGCATTTGAAAGTCGTAATCAAATTAAAATATAGAATATATTATATAAATTCTTTACTTTGCTTGAGAATATATTTAACATTTATTGCTTCAGTTGATAATGACATAATAATCTATCAAATATTGCCTCATTTGATACCATAAATCACATATTCCTCCAAGGTGTCAACCAGGCAAAACTGTCTTTAGTTTTTCCTGCGTAGAAAGATGAAAATGAGGTTAAAATTAATCCAATTCTTGCATCTTACCAATATCTGTACATAAAAATTATTAGATATTAATGGTAAACTGCCATAAAAACAATAAAAAAAAACAACATTCTATTAAAATTTATCATGTGACATGCCTAAATATGGTCATGATGACATCACATCATGACCATATATGGGCACAAAAATGTTGAAAGTGTGGACAGCACACTTTAGCAATGTATCAACTGTCTACCTTAACCATCAGTACCCGTTAATACAATACCGTAAAACCTTGGATAGCCCCTCTCTTTAGTTTGCAAAATTAGCCTCGAAAAGAAGCCGATTGGCTTCGTTTCAAGATAGCTCGATAGACTTCTTTTATAAATAATACAATAAAAACACTGTACATGGATTTTAGAAAACAAAATAAATTTAAAAAAAAGCTTGCTTTATACAGATGTTTAGGTGATTTAATGCCATTTAAATACAATTCATGATATAGATTAATGTTACAGTGGCCTTATTTATTGTTTAATAGTACAAATTTACAAAATTTACAGCATTCATTTAAAAAAAAAGAAAAGCTCCCTTCCCCCCACTCTTTACTTTGCAAAAGTAGCCCGAAAAAGAGGCCCAACATCAAAAAGAAGCCCAACATCGAAAAGAAGCCCATTCAAATTTCGCAATAAAAAGAAGCCCAGAACTTCAATTCAAGGTTTTACATAACTTCATTCCTCATTTATCCACTACTTATTCAAGTGTAATAAAGTTTTAATAACAATTTCATGTTACCTGTAGGTTTGTATTCACACCCAATCCAACCCTTGTAACCTAACTCCTGTAGAAGTTGGAATATGTAGTTATAGTTGAGTTCACCAGGGCTGTCTGGCTGTCCTCGGTCTGGTACCTGGGCTACTTGTATATGACCTATAATTGGGCAGAATAGTTGACAGTGTTTTTATTTTTGGCCAATTAGCGCACTCGCCACCACAAAAAAGTGGAAATTTCAGAAAAAAATTAAACATTTTCTTTATTTTTATTACGTCCTCCGCGGCCTTGATATCTCCAAATATAAGCTATGTATATTTCTTCCTAATTATATAAATTTGAAGCATTTAACCATCCTATTTTACATTCACCAATTAGTTTTATTTTTATTTTGGCAGATCTATTTGCTACATAAGAAAACAAAATTTACTGCCCTTGTCGGAGGAAAAACTGCCTACAGCAATTAAGTTTGCTTTTTTGTTAATCCTGTCGCCGACAAGGGTGTTGTCCTGTCTTTTTTTTGTCCTTATATTGTTGTTTTAACTGACGAAATAAATGAAATGGAATTTTATTTTATTTTTATTCTGCCCTCTTCCGATAATCTGGTTTTGCTAAAACAAAAACTAAGAGAAGGAAAAATCAATTATTCCAAATATGAGCAACAAGTTATCACAACACTTTTCAGTACTCTGTAATACATGATACTAACATACTGTTAGTATCATGTATTACAAAGTACTGGTAATAAAAGTGTTGTGAGAACTTGTTGCTCATATTTGGAATAATTGATTTTATGTGCATGTCAGTTAATATTATATTTTCATGATTTTTTAAAAAAAAACCATTAAAGGCTATTATCCATCAAAACAATATGTAAAAGTACAAAAAATACACAGGACAATATGCAAAGGACTTGTATGAAAGGAACTATGTGCTTCCAGGTGGGAACGATACACCACGTAAAGGTCCTAGCGTCCTGCATACCCCACTGTATCTAACCTATGCACGATACACCACTAAGGTCTTTCATATGTATGGGAAGTATCAAAACGTTTTTTGTAGAACCATAAATACATTTTTATATTACAGGTACCTAATTTGACATAGTGTTTAAAACATTGTGATAATTATTTTTTTTCATAACTACAACTTTCATAATTTTCGCAATTGTCATAATAAAGTTTTGTTTGCTGGGTCCGTTTTAGGTCCTATTGATCGCTGACACCCCCAACCTAGCTATAAACATGGAAGACTGAGGTCAAGCTGTCAATTTATGATTAATAAAAATAATATTGTGTTAATATACTGATATACTCACCAATGTAGGGATAAAGCTCCTTAATAATGTGTGTTATATTACCGTGCTGTTGCTGAACATGAAATAAATCCTGCATTAATGAATAAATAATAATGATTAATTATAATTTTAAAAATATTATCTGGTAATTAAGAAACAAGCCATTTAATTTAGTAAACATTTATAGGAAACATAGCATGCTTACTTACCATCTGCAATTTTAGGTTTGGATGTCCAACTTTCTTTATCATATCAACAGCTAAGAAGGAAATGTACATACATTTTACATTACTTTACTTTACTTATTAACTTCAAAATTTCAAAAACGAAAATGTTTAGGAATCAATTTGTTTAAATCAAAATTTAGTCAAAATCCGTTCTTTAGTTTCTGTAATACTAACAGTATTTCATATGTTAAATTGCTCATGCTCTCATCTATTGTACAAGCATTGTATAAGCTTTTCAAATCAAAAAAATCATACTAGGCTATAATTTGAATGTATATATGAGATAATGTCTCCATGGAATGAATGAACGAATTGACAAAATGTTTTTCAAAAATGGTATCCACAAATTGGTGTCTTTTTGTGCTGTATATTCTAAGGCCGATATTTAAACTTAAACTGCTCAAAAGCCTTAAGAAATATTTAAAACATCATGCCATCAGTTGTAGATGTATCTTATACACATCTAGGGAGGGGGAGATATATAGGCTGATGGTCACAAATGTAATCTTGTGTATATAGCCCAAGCACTGTCGTGGCCATATTTTGTGCTGTCAGAGGCCTGTTCTGTTTTAAATGTTAGCCATTTCTTTGACATGGTTAATTTAAATTTAAGAGAGCAGCTTAGCTCAGTAGGCTAATCTGGTGGTAGCCACTGTGTGTGCGCTGAACCGTGGAGATCACTAGGTCCCTGGTTCAATTCCCATCGCTGCCTCTTCTTGTGTTTCAGCTGGAGGGCTGAAATACAAGTTAAACAGCACACCGTCTTTCGGATGAGACATTTAAGCTGTTGGTCCTGTGTGTATCTATAGCCCATGTGCACGTTACGTGGTACACTCTTCGGAAAGAGTAGAGGATTGTCTCTCGGTGTACTGCCCAATCACCACCAGAAGGACCCCACTGGAAATAGTCTTCTACTAGACTTTTGTGGGCTATCCTTGGTGTTTACTCCAAATAAATCCAATCCAATCCAATTTGAGTAGACAATCTTGAAGTAATTATCACAGAAAACATGTTTTCTTACAATGACGACACTTCTGCAGCAAAATCCGAGCTAACACAAAATGTTCTTATAATGTTCGCAAATGTTGCAGTTAGGTATGTGACAAAATGACATTCACACAACGTTGTAAGAATGTTCAAACTTTGTGAAATTAGGTTCTACAAAATAACGAACGTTATTATAACGTTCTTAGAACGTAATACTGTATTGTTAGCTGGGATGCTTAGCCATATTGTTAGTACCCCTTTGAATTTTGACAGTGCCACACATATTTCTTTTTTATTCAAATTTTGCTTACTATAATTTCATTCGGACTGCTGGCAATGTTGTTGCAGCCCATGAAAAACCTAAGTGTCGTGGATTGCAACCCCTACAATTTAACGACCGACCACCGATCATCAGTAAAAAGTAATATAAAACTCAGTATAAAGCAGTATAGAAGCACAGCATGATTCAAGATTCATACAACAAGGAGGTGAATTCTATCATCACTCACAAAGGGGTCTGTCTAAAACATGAAGTTACAGACATTCATTAGAACCATCCAAAAATACTTTACCTTGATACTGGCTGTTCAAGAAATAATTTGGTACTGTTTTCTTGTTCAAAGGTTCTATAAGTGCTAAAATTCCTTCCTATGTCAAAACAAAATATAATTTTAAAAAGTTTTATATGAACCACAATTTTTATCATACACTTTGACATTAAAAATGAATGTTGTACTGTTTCTTATTAATGTTTAATAATAATAATAAAAATAATAATAATAATAATAATCAATGTTTACGGTATATAGCAGCATTATCAGATGATTACAGTAAAATAGTTTGATTCAAAATGCACTCAATGATCATCATACAGTCAATGGTGGCACCAGTGGTGGAGAACCCAATTGTCAGAGTACACTTGAGAGGGAGGAAGCTAATCAATTCGTTGGGGAACACTGTTTTAGAAAAGCATTCTTACAAGCGTACGTCGGTCAGGTTGAAGTGTGCGTAACAACTAAATATTGTAATGAGCTTAATTTATGTATATTAATGGAGTCCAAGGCAGCTTTAAATGATTTTATATTGGGTGACGTGCGAATATCCTCGCTTAAGTAGTTCCATTACGGAAATGATCTTGCGTATAATAAGCGAAGGTAGCAGTCTTTAATTGTTGGAATGACCTTATAAACATAAGCACCAGTTTGCCTGGTTGCAATATGGTTTTATAGGGATTTTGATATGAGGCCTAATAATGTTGCTTGGTATGATCCAGCGTTTTCTTATTGTGGTTTAGGCACAATTTTTTTCCTTCTGTCTTGAGGTTTCCTACCCTAGATTTTTAAAAATATTAGTAATACTTGACTAGCGCTTGTAATTTTTCTGGGCATCAAGAGGTGCCTTTTCTTAAAATGTGCTGACCTCACCCAACAAAGGCATGAAATTCATCAATGACCTTGGACCATTCTCAGAGATCACTGGCACCTGAAACTGCAGCAACGTAAGTGCTTGTAAATCTGCAGAAATAGTTGGTCTATTGCATATGAAGATATTTCAAATATGATTAAAGCACACTGATTTTTTGACTACAAAAAATACTACAAATGACGGAGATCAGCATATTAATTGCCTGTATTTCTGCAGAAATATGTTTAAAATGTTTTCTTAATACTCTCCTTACCTTGCTTAAAATATCAGCAGCATATTTTAGATTAGCAATGAATGTGTCTTCCATTTTCTTTAGGAGACATTCTTTTGTTGCTTCTGGGCTGGGGTCTGGTATTTTACCAGTCATAATATGTAACCTATAATTGAAAAAATCAATTCGGATTCGAAAATTTCTTTAAGCTGAGCATTGGTCGGATTCAGTGCCTGATTAAGTGGGTGACGAAAGAGTGAACCTACTGCAGTGTTAACATACTCCTCATCATGAATGATCTGATCTTTTGTTTTATTCTTGTTTTATTTACTTCCATTTTACCTCTTTATTGGGTCCTAGTGAAACAAGTACTTCTAGCTAGGACTCAAGATAACAATGTTTTTTTCCACTTTTGTGATTGTTGTTATTTTGTTTATGTATAGTTATTATTGTATCAGTTTGTCATTATTATCGAAATAAATAAATCGGAAATGAAATAAAATCTCATTTGTGCAATATTTAATATTACAAGAAACAATTAAATTAATAATTCTGTGGAGTATCTATTATATGTGTGAGAAAATATTGAAGATGGTACACTTTTAAGCTTTAAATATGATTTTACAAGCATCTGTGTTTTAGTTGAGAGTTCCTTAAGTAACGGTAGGGCGCATTTTCAGAAGTACTGAAAGTTAGTTGCTTAGCATGGAGCATCATACTATATATTAGCCTGGGTTCCAGGCCCTAATTTTAGGTTACTCACTCTTTATTGCACTTAGTGCGCGCCATACCTAATTTAATTGGCGTCCCATACTCGATTTGTTTTTTTTTTCGAATTATTATTCCGTCTATCTCTAAATTTGCTCTAAATTAACTTTCTCGTTGGCGGCGCTGTCCATAATGAAAAAAATAATAAAAAAATAAGAGACTTGTGGCAAGTCTAACTATATATGTGCACAAAAGGTACAGGAAGGGCTCCATAGCTGGAAGAAGCCACTTACGGGAAATGTAATTAAATGAGTTTTCTTAATACACCTACCATTATTTTCCTGATGACACCCAATGACACACATTTCAGCGAGACAATTACAAAATAATGTATGTAACAACATGCAAATAATGTATTTTGAATTTGCGGGAAGATGGGTAATTTTCTGAGAGATCCCCAGCTAACACTATTACGTTCTAAGAATGTTATAATAACGTTACAATTTGGTGATAAAAACGTTATTTTGTAGAACCATATGTACGTACTTATAACCTAATTTCACAACGTTAGAACGTTCTTACAACGTTGTGTGAACGTTATTATTTCGTGACATACACTTTTTTTTTTATAAGAACCAGTAAAATTTTGCCCAGGTTAAGTGTTCTTATTTTTCGGCCGATTTCAGACTCAAAATGTTCTTATTTTTACATACTTTTAAAAAATAGAAAACATTATCGTACAGCAGTATACGCTGTACTGGAATGTAGGTAAAAGTGGTCCCGGAAAAAAAGGCCCTAGAAAAAGCCCCTGGTAACTTATGACCCCAAACGACAGGTAGTTACTGCTGTACTGTATTATAGAGGGTATTACATAGTCACACCATCATAAGGTACAGATATGATTTTTGGGGGTTTTTTTTTTAGTTTTTTGAAATAAAAATATCATTTGACATTTTACCTCAGCCTCAATTTGTTCTTAATTTTAAAGAAATTTCAGCCTCAGTGTTCTTATAAAAAAAATCAAAGTCTACTGTACCAAACCACAAGGTTCACGAACATTATGAAATGTTTTGTATTTGTTGGGTTCTTGCTTGTGGGGATGCGGGAGAAAATTTCCGAGAGACTTCTGCGACTTGCGAGAGATTTAGGACCACGTACAGGGTGGACTTAGTTTGTATACATTCAGTTTATTATTGATATGTCAATCCACATTATGTCAATTTGGGAGAAAAATACTGGTTCTTAAATAATCTTACATATTTTACTGTTATTTTTTTGGGAGTAGAAATGGGGTCATACATCATTCACAAATGAGAGGTTAAATAAAGGGCTCACCTGTCACACTTCAATGCCTTGCAGTAAGTGATTGACAGATTGAGGGCATCTTGGAATTCTTTCTCTTTTCCAGGAAGTGCTGCATGTCCCAGCTCACCTGCAGATAGATCACCTGGAATAAAATAAATAATTTATTAGGATAATCTGCATATAAATCATTTTAAAACCTGAATTCAGATTAAAGTCATAATATAATAAGAAATTATAATTTATTGCAGTTGAATTCATGTTGTTTATGCATTTTATTATAATATAAGGCAACTTCCACAAAGAAGTTTAATTAATTTTTTTACAAGTACTGTATTTGTATGTACTTCAGTATCGTATCCTTGAAGTATACCGGTATACATATTTAGCTACCTCCACATAAAAATGAACATTTATTAGAATAATTTGCATATATATTACTCATCAAATCAAGATTTTATAAATATACAATCAAGAGGCTCTTCAGCGGCAGAGACGGTGCCGGGTGCCAGGATTTTCCTAACCAGAGCAAAATTGGCGTGGTCTGGCGTCACTCAAAATCTTTCAAAAATGGTCAAGGGTGATCGAAGCCCCGAAAAATATGGTAATTTTAAGGGGTTTCACAAAAGCTTACTTAATAATCAATTTTGGAGTCTATACTAAACGTCCAATCTGGAAATCTGGACCCATTTTCTTAAAAGTTGACCCATTTTACACAAATTATGAGAATCTGGACCCATTTTGAAAATGTGGACCCATGCTTTGTGTCGACCCAATAGAAAAATTGTGTGGGACTGTCCCACTGCCCCAATAGCTGCCGGATACGGCATGAGTCATGCTTACCTGGGAAAATATTGAGCAGGACTTGCCGTTGTTGGTTTGATTCAAGAGCCCTTTGAACATCTACCAAAGGCAATGTGTAGGGAAAAGCTACTTCTACGGCCTCGAATCCTGCTTCTTTTGCAGCAGAATACCTAGCCTCCAGATCCGCCAACTCTGTGAACAAAAAGGAGAGATTTGCGGCGAATTTCAAGCTCATCTTTTCAGCAGGCAATCAAAAAACTAAATGTCCCTGAATGTCTCCACGCCAGCACTGTCCTGTGTGTATATTTTTAGTAAACAATTGTGTCGTCATAATAAATATAGAAGGAGATTTTAAATTCTTTCCCTTGCATATATATCTAAGTATTTAAAATATTTCATTTATTTCAATACAAATCACATAATATTTTCTAAAGCACCTCCCTCATGAACTTAGGGGGTGGAATTAAGTCTCCGTAGCGTTCAATATATTTGGACCAATCAAACATCGTGTGGTGTTGCGGTAATTGATTACCGTCCAATCACATTCCATTTTGTTCTTCAGAGCGGTGCTTTTAAAATTGCGTCTAAACAACAGAGGCCGCGCTAGGCTAGGCCAGTGTATATTTCGTGAATAACAGAAAACGTAACCTAATTTACTATTAGTAAATTTGTAAATTAGTTTCAATGTGTACTGAGCATTGCCATGGAACCTTTTAGAGCAACAAGATTGGTAAGCAAAACAAACTTAGGCCTATGTTATAAATTATAAGTTTATCTTGAATCAAGTTTAAGAGAAGACAGTTCCAGTGGCTAGGCCTAATCTAACCTAGGCCTAGGCTAGGCCTAGCCCTAGTACAGTACTACTAGGCCAGGCCTAGCTTAGGGGCCTGGGCCCCTGCTATATTTTTGTGTTTTGGTTGCGCTGAATGTTTGTACTTTGGCGGACACTAGGCCTATGCTATGGTAATTTGGAACAATTGAATTTAAAAACATTTAATGTATTAATTCAATAATATTAATAAATGTTGATTTGATGTACTGTAATGATACACCATCATCATAGTATAACCAGGGAGTTGTTATAGTGACTAACAACTCCCTGGTATAACAGTCAGTAATAATAGGCAAGTGATTTCCAACCCCACCATCAATGAACTGATTTGTACATGATCATAATGTATGTTAATTATTACATCCAAGTTCACCATAACAACAGATCAAGTCGTAGTTGCTCCTCCCTTTAATGTAATTGGCCCTGTAAGACTAATTTGCTTTCATTTATTATTTTCCAGTGGAATGGTCTAATTAAAGAATTTCGAAATGGTATGCACCCAAAACGACATCGTTGGAGGATGCGTCATTATGACAATTGCTTCACATCAACTGAGGCTATCGAATTTCTGTTGAATCATCTACACAACGACACAAACTTTGGACCTTGGGTCACTCGTGATCAGACCTCACGACTTCTAAGCAAGTTTATTGAGAATCGCGTCATTGTGGATGT